GTAGTGGCAGTAGTAGGTAGCAGTAGTAGCAGTAGTAGCAGTAGTGGCAGTGGTAGGTAGCAGTAGTAGCAAAAGCAGCAGTAGTAGTAGTAGTAGTAGTAGTAGTAGTAGTAGTAGTGGTAGTGGTAGTGGTAGTGGTAGTGGTAGTAGTAGCAGTAGTGGCAGTAGTAGGTAGCAGTAGGTAGCAGTAGTAGCAGTAGTGGCAGCAGTAGGTAGCAGTAGTAGCAGTAGTAGCAAAAGCAGCAGTAGTAGTAGTAGTAGTAGTAGTAGTAGTAGGAGTAGGAGTAGGAGTATGCCGGTGGCAAAGACACACTGCTGCTAGCACTTTCAAGCATCGTTGCATTCGTCGTAGCAGTCAGAGCCGACACCGCCACACTGTTTTGCAGAGGGCCTTCGCAAGAATGAAGCGTGGAAGCACGAGATGCAGGGACCTCGGCCATGCAGCCTCGGCTATTTGCTGCACTGCTCCGGTTGATTGAATCGAATGTGGCTTCAGCGTGCAATCGATAGCAACGGTGGTGATGGCAAGTTTCCTGGTGAGTGTTGTCATGATGGCCACGAGGAGGATGATGGTGATTTTGATGTTCGCGATGATGGTGGTGATAGTGATGAGGGTGATTATGTTGATGTTCTCTTGGCCGTTGCCGTGTTCGTGGTGGTTGTGGTCGCTGTGGTGGTTGTGGTTGCGGTAGTGGTTGTGGTTGCGGTTTCGGTTGTGGCGGTGGTTGTTATTGTTGTGGTGATGGTGGTGATGGTGGTGGTGGTGGTGATGGTGGTGGTGGTGGTGATGCTGGTGATGGTGGTGATGGTGGTGGTGGTCGTGGTGGCGGTGCTGGTGGTGGTTGTTGTTGTTGTTGTTGTTGTTGCTGCTGCTGCTGCTGCTTGTGATGAGAGTGTTGGTGTTGGTGTTTGCGTTGGTATTGGTGTTGGTATTTGTGGTGGTGGTGGTGCTGGTGATGGTGGTGGCGGTGGCGGTGGTGGTGTTGGTGGTGGTGGTGGCGTTAGTGTTGCTGGTGGTGGTGGTGGTGGTGGTGCTGCTGCTGCTGCTGGGGATGTTGACGATGCTGTTCATCACGATGGTTCGTAGTTACCGGTGATCAGTCAGTGATGGCAGAGATCACGATGTTTGGCATGCAGGGAGAGATGGGCAGAGTTGATTATCGGCGGACTTGGAAAGGTGCAAGAGCACGACCTGCAATTGTTCCCTCTCGGACTCACTCCTTGGGATCCCTAGCTGCAGGGCGCTTGTAGTTATGTAACTAATGCGTTGCAGGGTCTCTTCAAATGTACGGCCAGTAGAACCGCATGTCTCCCCTGACGTGCAGAGCTGCCGTCTGCGATTCCGATGATCCTGCATCCGAAAGATCGTAAATCATGTCAGTCCCTTCGACAGGATATCCTTCTTCCGTGTCCTTCCGGTTTAGAGGCGAATACTCGTCATAGTATCATCCCTCTTCTCTTCTCTGCCTAGGGCGGACCGCCCGCTCTTTTCAGCGGATGGCTCCAGCCCAGCTGAGGCGCACAGCGCGGGCTTTCGGTCAGGGCTTTGGGGTGCTGAGGCCTAGGCCAGAAACTTCCGGCCCTCAACCACAGCACTGAGGGACTGAGGGACAGAGGTGTCGACGTCTGGAGGCTGGGGTTGAGGTTTGTGGTTGAAGCTTCGATTTCGCTTCCAAAAGGGCCTAGGCGCCGGCCCGAAAGGCCCAAAGTCCCTCCAAAGGTTTTCGCCGCGGAGCTCCGAAGCGTGCTGCAGGTCCCACGCTTTTCGGCTTCAGGGTTCCCTCATTCCCTCGAGGGAGACTGGGATAAAGCTTTTCCAGCGGTTTTGCCACAGGTTTAATGGGGTTCAGGGCCACAGCACAGGTGCAAGTAAGGTTGATGAGACAGCTGGGTCCTGAACAGAAGCTTCCAGTCACTTCGAGTTCCCGGGAGACTTCGCAAAGGCTGCCACCACTCTCTCCTCTCGACGGGCATGGCAAACATCCCTTATAATTCCTTCTACTTCGCCTGCTCATATGTCCGACTCAGCTTGATCGCGGTTGTGGTCCAAAGTCTTCTTGCTTACGATGCACCCGGACCCGAACCGTGACATTCAAAAGCTCAAGGCGAAATTTCAAAGGCTCACGCGTAGACGAAGCACCCCAGGGATGTGTGTGGACTCTTGTGGCCTAAATGTCAGAAGACGGCCCAGCTCAGCTTTCAGCACTCCTTAGGGTTCCCGACAGGTGTGAGGTTTCCTCTGGAAGCCCTAACTCTACTCTCTACTAAACTCTCGAAGAGACACTCAAGTGAATTCCCAGCTCTCCTTGCCACGGGCTGCCTCGCAGCTGGCGCAGCCGCTGCAGGAGGCAGGCCAGCATGAAGGTTTCGTTCGGGGTTAAGGATCTAGGATTGATGGCCACTGACTTTTGCACTTGTGACTTTTTCTGCTTTGCTTACAACATTTGAGCTTAAGCTAGGACAGCGGCAGCAGCAACAACAACAGCAGCAACCATAATCACAGCAACAACCCAATCAACAACACTAGCGAGAATAACAACGAGAACGCCGACGAACACCAATACTAGCAATGACAACAAGAAGCATACTAGCAATAACACAATCACAACAAGATGACGAACTACAAAAGCGACACGACAGCAGCAACAGCAACGACAACGACAACAACAACAGAAGCAGCAGCAGCAGCAGCAGCAGCAGCAGCAGCAGCAGCAGCAGCAACAACAACAACAACAATAACAATAACAATAACAACAACGATAACAGCAGCAATAACGCCAATAATAGCAACAATAACAACAACAATAGCAACAACAAGAACACCAACAATAACAACAGCAATAACATCAACAATAACAGCAACAATAACAACAACAATAGCAATAATAGTAACAACAACAGTAACAACAACACGCAATGACAAACCAACGACGACAGCATCATCAACAACATCAACAACAACAACAACAACAACGAAACAACAACAGCAAGGGGGTGGGCGTGTCTGCCGCCGCGAACGGTGTATCGATTTCAAGCATGCGATGTGCTAAAGCCCGAGTTATTGCACAATGCAGTTTAGATGCTTATTGCGTTTTGGCTTTCATATCGGTTTGTACAGTGAATCCAGCGGTTTTTCTGAAAGCTCAAGATTTTGCATGTTCGCATGCCTTTTGCTTCGGTGCTTACAGTGATTCGTGAGTCTTCCGCTCCCTTATGTCGTGTTTTTGGATTTTCTTCCGGAATCTCTTTCTTTCTGATTCCGGGGATGGGAGGTGGGGTAGTTACGTCCATGGGCCATTGGGATCATGCACGTTGTGTTTTCGCTGAGACTTTCTTTTTTACTTTTGTGCAGGGGTGGGGTGGGGATGGAGAGGGGGCGTGGTTGATGACGTCCGTGCAATGCTGATTACGTATGTCGTGCTTGTTTTTCTACTTCCATGCAGGGGTGGGGGTGAAGGGCTGGGGGCGACACAGGGGTGGGGGGGCAGTAACGTTCATGATGTCTGCGGTGTGATGGAGGCATGGACAGTCTTCACACTGTTTAAGATTTGTCACCTTCTTGCGGAGGCCACGCTTCTTTGCTATGTACCCCAGATGTGATGATTTCCTGAGACCCTGTGTTGATGATGACGATGAAATAATAATGATGATGATGATGGTCATGACGATGAAGAAGATGATGACGATTGTGATGATGATGCTGATGATATATAATAGGGATGACGACTATGATGATGCGAATGATGGCGGCGATGATGACTGCTGTGGGTTTTGGAGAGCCCGTCGCTTGCAACCTGCACCTAAAACCGCTTAACCCTCAAGTCCTCAAGCCAGATACCACACATACACCGAAACCATGGGCCTGACTCCGGCATGACACCCAAAAACACACTCGCAGCCTGTGCCGTGTGAGTGCTCAGTCGTGCCAAGTGCTGAAGATGACTATGACTACGACAACGAAGATGATTATCATGATAATATCTATGTTGACGCTGAAGATGACGATGACGACGGTCTTGATCCTGGTGATGATTGTGTTGTTGGTTTCAAGAAACCGAACGTCAAACACAGCAATGCTCAACTCACAGAATCTGTGGGTTGCTCATGCGACGGTTGCATGACAAGAGTCTCGAGCCCTCCACAAAAAGACTTAACAACAGACACACAAACGTAACAACAAAAAATGACAAAAGACAAGGGGTATTTGCAACACTCCTTTTAAGCATATCACAAAAACTAAAACCACAATCCCGAAAACCATCGTGATATATACAAAAGCCGCAAAAACGCGAGGTTGTTGCCTCCATAAGCAAAAGTCGTACAAAACGAACGACACCCTTCGCAGCGGCAGTTTCTACTTGTACTTCTACTATTACTACTACTACTACTACTACTACTACTACTACTACTACCACTACTACTACTGCTACTACTACTCCCACTCCTGCTCCTGCTGCTGCTGCTGCTGCTGCTGCTGCTGCTGCTGCTGCTGCTACATCTACAACTACAGCTACAACTACAACAACAATGACAACAACAACTACTACTACGACTTCTACTTCCACTTCTACTACTACTACTACTACTACTACTACTACTACTACTACTACTATTACTACTACTACTCCTGCTCCGGCTGCTGCTGCTACTACCACTACTACTACTGCTGCGGTGCTGCCACTGCAAGTTCTAGCACTGCAACTGCAACTACAACTACAATAACATATACTTCTACATCTACTCCTACCACCAATACCACTACCACTACTACTACCACTATCACTACTACTAAACAACAACAACAACTACTACTACTACTACGACGACGACGACGACTACTGCTACTACTACTACTACTACTACTACTACTAGTATTACTACTAGTAATTGTAAACGTATTAGTACTAGTACTAGTGCTAGTACTAGTACTGCTTCTGCTATTGCTACTGCTATTGCTGCTGCTGCTACTACTACTACTACTACTGCTCCTGCTGCTACTCCTGCTGCTGCTGCTGCTACTGCTACTTCTGCTACTATTACTGCTAGTACTACTACTACTACTACTACTACTACTACTACTACTAGTACTACTACTACTACTACTACTACTACTACTACTACTACTACTATGAGTACTACTACGGCTACTCCTACTGCCACGGCCACGGCTACGGTCAGTGTTTCAGTCAGTGCCACTGCAACTGCCACTGCAACTGCCACCCACTACCACCACTACTGACTATCGTCGGTATTAGGAGTCCGTTCAGCCTATCATGCATCTTTCAGAAAAATGCCAAGTAAGTCCCATGTTTCCGGATGGTCGAGCCAGGTACTTTCAGAGCCGTCTGCTCCGCCCGAGGTCCTGCCAGCAACCGGAAGGGAAGCAAGGGGGCTGAGGATTGAGGTTCCGGCGCGGAGGGCCAAGGATGAGGATTGGCAGATATAATTGAAGATCAAACCGACAGGGCTTCGGCTGAAGGCTTCCAGATCCGTTGGATGCAGGTTCAGTGTCGGTTCTGTGCAAGTACGAGAACTCTTCTTCCAGAATTGAGCTTTCTGGTGTGTGGAGGGTCTAAGTGTGACCGACGCTTTGGCTCGCAGCGGCCCAGACAGCACCGTGCACTTCTCACAGATACAACGCCACGTGCACAATCGCAAATAGTATGTTGGCAGCTGTGTGCTGACCCATAACAGACACCTCAAGCTGTCAACCTCTCTCTACGAATGCAGCAATTCTGCTGCTACAGCCGCGGAGCAATGGACGCGGCGAGTAACGGAGAGAGCGTGGCGACCTCCTCCTCTTCATTCAGGATGTGGTCAGTTGGGATCACAGGGTTGGAGTGATTTTCTCCGACATTCTTTTTCAGTAGTAGATGTGGGGACGTGGGCCGCAACTTTCTCTTGTGGGCAAGGCATTGTGAAGCCTAACGAAGACATGAACGAACAGGTTTACCCACACCCTACACCTTAGAGGGTTAGGACTTCATCCAAAAACTCAGACCTGGCACGGCAGGAGGCTCAGCAGTGCCAGAGAATATTTCGAGATGTTTGTGGTGCCTGTGCAGACGCTGTGGCTGATGACCTGCATCCAAGCGCACGAGGAGCTGTTGAAAGGAGGGAGCCTTATCAAGTTCCAAGAGGATCTGGGCCAAGCTTTGTTTATCTCTCATCAGTGGGCTGGTCTTGGCCATCCAGATCCGCATCTTCTGCAGCTCAAGGTTTTGCAGGACGCGTTGAGAAACTTGTTGTCTGGAAACAGCTCAATTTCGGCCAGTATGGTCATGGAGCTGTTAGCCGGCCAGCAGCATGGTGTTTCCATGCATGACAAGTTGGCTGATAGGCTGTTTGTGTGGTATGACTACTTCTGTTGTCCGCAAGCAAATGTCGAGCATCGGCAGTCTGCCATCGACAGCATACCGGCCTATGTGGGTCGCTGTCAGATCTTTTGCATCCTCTGTCCTCATGTTCGGCATGCGCATGACAACACGCTCCTGAACAAGCACACCTGGGCGGAACGAGGCACGGACCTGCCTTGCGTAGCACGGAGTCACGGAGCTTCAGCAGTTACGGACAGCTGTCGTCACCAGTGCTTTTCTTCTTCTGTTGTTGCTGCTGATGCTGCTGCTGCTGCCATGGTTAGTCTTGCTAGTGTTTCCGCTAGAATCACGAGCGTTATGTTCACAAAGCTTTTTGGCCTCCTACTCGGCGACCCCGGTGATGACGAATCCTTTTTGCCTTCATTTCTCCGCGCACTTCGTGTTCCTGTTTCTGTTGGCATGTCTGCTCTGGACCGAGGAACGATACATGCAGCACGAAAGTAGTTGAGACTAAGTCTGGGTCGCAATGCATATGCACACGCACAGGCACAAGGACATACCCAGTCACAGATACATACACTTACGTGTACATATGTCAATGTATGTTCATGTGTGTATATATACATATACACACATATGTGTGTGTTGGCATACACACAAATAAACAGGTGAATGTTCACGGAGAACTGACGGGCCAGCGTATTCTACAAAACGCATATACGCACGTACACAGGGGCCTGAATCGCCTCACGACAGGCCAAAACATAATAAACGTGCTCGTGTTAGAATGGTGACTACATACATACATACATACATACATACATACATACATACATACATACATACATACATACATACATCGTGATGGAATGGCGAGGCTGGTGCAGGCTGGAGAGGGCTGCCCGAGAGCTGAGCTTGCATCCAGATTCCATCGCCACCATCGAGATCCACAGCGCCACACACCAGGTCTTGTCGAACACCTTTGACTGGGTTCGATGCCCCGTGGGCGAGGGGAGCTTCAGCGAGGAGACAGACCGCGAACGTGTAGGTGAAGTGTTGTGTGATATGATCAAAGCAAAGCTGCAGCATTACCTCGACGAGGAAGATCTGCACAACTATCGCGTGTTGCTGAACACACAGGCAGTCCACTTCAGGAAGCTGTCGGTGAGGAGGGTGGAGAGCCTTCTGCCGCACACCTGCTCAGACGAGCAGGACCCGGCAAGCTTTGCTCTCGGACAGTTCCTGGAGCAGAATGGATTTGCCAATGCAGTAGAGCGAAATGATGTCGGATGGACGCCCTTGTGCTATGCAGCCCTTGCAGGTGATCCTTTAGTCTTGGCAGCGTTGCTTCAGCAGCGAGCAAACGTCAATGATGGTATCGGCCGTCAAGATCCCATCTTGCAGTTTGCCCCAGGCACTTCTGTGCTTGACATTTGCGTGTGTTTGAACCACAACAATGCGGCGCGCGTGCTCATCGACTTTTCTGCCGATGTTCGGCAGAAGGATGGGCTTCGCGCCACGGCGGCTCACTGGGCCTGCGTTGGTAACAATGTCGAAGGCAGGCCAACCAGCCGTGGGATTCGGGGATATTCAGGGGTCTGTTTTGGGTTTAGGGTTGAGGGTGTTTCATCTAGTGAAGAAGCGGTAAAGGCATTGAATGTGTCAGAGTGTAGCTGACTGTTCTTCAACATGTTCGTTCTTACTTTTTGCATACCCCAGAAGTCTGATCTAATTGTTCAGGCTCCTACACTAACTACCCCCTTATAATATCCGTTATAGTACCCTTCGAAGGACCCCTGTTCTTCCTACTTATTACGGGCCGACATAATATACCAGGCCTGCAGCTCTTGCGGATAGCGGGCTGCAGCCTCGGGGACCGCGCGCTCTTCGGTGAGCTCCCGTTCGGCCTTGCATGTGCCATGGGCAGCGTGAGATGCATCAAGGACCCAAGGGATTTATGAACCCCAGATCCGAATTTCGAAGCCTTCCTAATCTTTCCGACAGAACCCCGGACGCCTCCTGCCCGCAGATTTTGTATGGATAGCGCAGGGTGTCGCCTGTCAGCAGGCAGTAGTCCTCAAAGAAAGGCAGCTGCCAGCTGCCGGAGTGTTTGGGTGCGCATGGACGCAAGTGGCCATGCTTCTGAAAGCAGACTCCTTGCTCAAAAACTATCACCGCAACGAGGCTCCCTAGCAAAATCCCGGGGCCGCAGAGTAATCACCGAAGGAACCCTAGCACCCTTATGGGACCCTCAGAGGAAACCCTATAGGAACCCGCTGTGCTTGGTTTCAGGAGCTCCTTCCCGTCACGGATCGGCAGGAGTGGAAGAAACGAGCGGCTGGCGCTTCAGGGATGTAGAGCTGATAAATGCATGCAGCAGACAGACACCCAGTTTTACAAGACATACATACATGATACATACATATATATATATATATATGTATATATACACACATACAATCACATACACATACACACACACACACGTATGTAAATCACTACGCTTGTTTTCTATATACATACATACATATATATATATATATATGTGTCTGTGTGTGGCCATGCAACAAAAAGGAGTGACCATAGTTGTATGTGTATACACATAGACACATATCTACATCGCACCCGTGGACTGCCATGCAGCATAAGTCTGTATCTGCACATGTCGTCCACGTAGTTGTGCTTTCAGCTGCCCGCTTGATTGCCAGAATGCAACATGCATTGACGTGAGCGGCACGGGATACAGTACGGTAAAAGACGATGCAAGACAACGCTGCAGAAATCGCGAGGAGCTTGCAATCGGGCTGCATTCGGCGCTTCTCTACGGACATGCCTCTGCAGAAGTAGTTGCAATCCTGGTAGAGGCGGGGGCCGACATCAACCAAGCAGCGGAGAAACCCGAGTTTTTCAGTCCCTTTGGCTTGGTTTGTGCTTTTCTAAGCTTGCGCCACCACTGGCGACCGTCGGCACTGAGCACCTATGCCCGCAACGTAGCGGGGGCGACACCTCTTATCTGCAGTATTCTCAGTGGCTCCTTTGAAGCCGCAGCAGTCTTAATATCTGCCGGTGCGAGCTTGGAGCTTAGCAATCACGAGGGCAAGATCGCTAGGGATTTTCTCAATCCTGCGTCTGCCCCGGAATTCCTTGTGAAAGCCATCGGTGGCTGCCCTGCTGCCTGTGATGCAGTAGTGGTCGAGCATTCTCAAAGGATCTGGGTTAGCGTTTGAGCAGGCGAGCAGTTGATCTGCTAGTCAGAAAATTCTTTTCCAGATCTCCGCGAGCGCACGGTGACCTGCCGCTTGTATCGGTGTTGGGGAAGCCATGCCTCCGGGCTCTCTTTTACAGTTTTAGAAGACTTCCCGAAAATCAGGGATTCGGTCGAATTGACAGTTTTACTGCTTTACTCTCACATGTTCTGCTTGAGGACATGCAGGCTCTCCACGGCTTCTTCAAAAGATCCCATGGGGCGGCACCAAGTTTGATTCTGTTCCCTTGCCATCGAATGATGGGGAAAAGCTTCCCTGAATTCGCTGTGCCGGATGTGCTTCCAATTTTACAAACCATCTCCCTTTGAAACGTCGGTTAAAAGAAGCTCCGGATTGGTGGACGGGCTTTGGTCTCAAAGTGCAACTAATTCACACACCAGGGCCCGTGTGCTTGGTGGGCATAGGTATACCCTCAGCACGACTTGAGGAGACAATCCCAACATCAGAAGCAACCTCATCAGCATTAAGCACAACAAAATTGCCTGCAACAGTAGACAGAACAACAAGATCTGCTGCTGCTCCTCACCCTCCAACAACGACCAGGAGTACAAGTATTGCTAGTAGTATTATTACTGCTTGCTGCTGCCGTTGCTACTGCGCTACTGCTACTGCTGCCGTTTCTGCTGGTGGTGGTGGTGCTCCTGCTACTGCTACTGCTCTGCTGGTGCTACTGCTGCCTCTACTGCTACTGCTGCTGCTGCTACTACTACTGATTTGCTACTGCGACGGCTACTGATGCTACTGGGTAGCACAGTCGCGCTTGCAGCCATAGTCGTCTTACTGGTAGTAGCATGTAGTACAAAAATTCCAGAAAAAAACACAGACACTGGAAGACATGTACACAGCATACACGAAGCACGGCATCAATCATACACGATCAAGAAGTACCACACGCTTCTGGCAGACAGTGGCAGCGGCACTGACAGCACTTCGAGCTTTCAAGGAGGACTGGCGAGAGGCTGTGCCGTAAGGGCTGGGAAACTTCATTCAGGCTAGGAAGCCGGAGTGTGCGGGGCCACGTTTCGAAGACAAATCGCGGCGATATCGAATCGAGTGCGATTGCGCTTTGAAGCCAGGAAGCCTAATCACACCAACTTAAACCACCCTTATTGAAAGGGGTCGCACACTGGTAGAACATGTATGGATGCTGTTTGACATGGGTTCTAAACAGGCAGGTCGGTGTAGGGCTTTTCCATCAGACGGCTTAGACATCGGCTTGGGTATGTAGAGATTTGCTGCGAGCCCAAGTTCTATGGCTTTACAGCGACTTGGCTCTGTGGTCCCCAGACGCTGGCAAATTGCCGTTTGTGTGGGTTGACGTGTCTTTAACGTGTCTAGGCTTCGGTTTACTCCAGCAGGTGAGTTCTGACAGTAAGTATGTAGTATGAATATATGTGGTATGTAGTATCTAGTTTGTAGTCTGTTGTAGTAGCAGCAGCAGCAGTAGTAGTACTAGTTGTAGTTGTACTTGTAGTTGTAGTTGTAGCAGCAGCAGCAGGAGTGGAAGTAGTAGTAGTAGTAGTAGTAGTAGTAGTAGCAGCAGCAGCAGCAGCAGTAGTAGTCGTAGTCGTAGTCGTAGTCGTAGTCGTAGTCGTAGTCGTAGTCATAGTTGTAGTCGCAGTCGCAGTCGCAGTCGCAGTCGTAGTAGTAGTGGTGGTAGTAGTAGTAGTAGTAGTAGTAGCAGTAGCAGTAGCAGCAGTTGTAGCAGTAGTATTATTGTTCTTAGTAGTAGTCGTCGTTGTTGTTGTTGGAGAAGAAGAAGTAGTTGTGGCAGTGGTAAGAGTTTATCAAGATTCCATGTGCCGTCAGAGTCGGAGACATCCGACACAATTGATCGCAGCACATCACTTGAGTACACCCTGGAGGCACAAGCTCCAAGCGCGTAGCTTCAACCCCGCACTCGCGACCCGCGGAAACCTCAAAAGCCCCGAAGGCTTAAAGTCCGTAAAGCTCAATGTTGACTTTTTTGTTGCAGCGCTTTGGAGGCCGTCCGTGCTCAGGCAGCAAAAAGTCTCGAGAGGCGGCTGGACTCTCTCAAGTGCCCGAGAAGGTTTGGGTTTGGCTTAATTTGTTAAGTTAGTATTCGGACGCTTACTCTGATTGTCATTGATGTTCCTCTGTCCTATTTTCACTACGACAGCAACAGCTAAATCATTACTGCTACCAGTGTTCGGTCTTCTGCCCTAACGAGGGTTGGTGCAATCCGGTGTGGGTTCTGCGAAGGGTTCGCGACCGCTTCGTTACGGAACAGCTGAAGCACACTCAGCAGCACTAGCAGTGGTAACAGCAGCAGCCGAAGTAGCAGCGGTTTAAGCTTTTCTGAAAAGCAACACGGCAAAGCTACTGCGGCCGGAGAATTCGCAGTGTTCGGAGGAGAAGTGGAAGCGGTCGCAGTAGCAGATTGTTCAGAAGGGCCCTTCTGCTGGTATGCGCAGTTATGGTGATAGGACTCCGCGTGATAGCTGCGATGGTACCGATGAACCCAACCGTGTGACCGCCCGCTGCGAGGTACGAGCTACAGAAGATGCCCTGTGTATCACAGTCCGGGACCTGGCAGCCAAGCGGTGGAGCGCCACCTCTACAGAACAAGGTCCTCGAAAACAGGCTGATATAGGCTGATGCTCATGATGCTCAGCTAGTCGGTGTCCTTGCATAGAGAGGAGCAGATGCTGCTGATGCGGGTGTGTTTGGTGTCTGGGACTCTGGCTGCCGTTCACGGTGCTTGGCCTGCCAGGGCTCTTTCGATTGCTGGTGTCAAAGCCGAGGTATGGATTCATGATGCTTGGCTAGTCGGGGGTTCTTGTGCAGGAGCATGTTGAACTGACGAAGCTCGGCTCTTCGGGGTTCTTGCGTAGCAGGCAGTGTTGCTGATGCTGTTGTGCTTTGTTTCTTCCGGTGGCGACGATTATGTGACCTGTCTGCGCGTCGAAAGCTTCACCGATGGCCATTAAGTTGGCTTGTCGGGGCTCCTCCAGCGAAGTTGGTAGAGCTCATGCTAATGATGCTGGGCTGCCTCCGCCCCGGCTGACGATCATGTGATGTCATCGGGATTTGTGTGTGTGACTAGTCATTGGCCGCTGGTTTCAGAAGCTAGTGGAGCTGGACGTCATGATGCTTGGCTTATCGGGGCTTTTGTGCAGGATCCGGTGAAGCTGATGCTGATGATGCTGGTCTTGTAGGGTCTTTTGTGCAGAAGCCAGTGGAGCTGATGCTGATGACGCTTGGCTTGTCGGGGCTTTTGTTGTCAGGGCTTTTGTTGTCGGGGCTCTTGTGTAGAAGTGGGTGGAGGCTCGGCGTGCCAGGTCGTGAAGATAATCGAAGATAGTGTGGCTGTCTACGTTATTTTCTGCTTTGCAGACTTTGGAGACGGAGTGCTCGTGGGCAGAAGCCGGTGCAGCTCGTGTTCATGATGTGGACTGCTTGTGTTCTTCTGCTGGTGACGATGACGTGAAGCGTGAATGTGAGCAGAGATTGGCCGGTGGTTTCGCAAAGATTCCATCCGGAGCTAGAGGAGCTGATGTTTCTGATGCTTGGCTTGCCGCGGCTCTTGTGCTGCAGCCGGGATGATGCTGGTGTTACCGGCTTCCTCTGCTGGTGGCAAGAAGCTAGCAGAGCTGATGTTCACGATGCTTGGCGTGGTGCGGCTCTTGAGCGAAAGCCAGTGGAGCTGATACTGAGTTGCGACAAACACCAAGAAAATCTCGCAGTTGTATCTTCCTATTCTGCGACCCTCAGAAACGCTTGAAAGCACCATCCTAAACTCACAAAAAGCCCCCGAGCCACTTAGGTTGGGCCCGGCACGGCGTGTGCTGCGGGATCGCGTGGCGGTGCTGGCGCTGCTGTTGCAGGTGGGATGTTACGGCTTGGGGGTTCAGGGGATCTTGAGTCCAGGCGCTGAGCGTTTGAGGTCTGAGGGTCTTTCGAAGCATTAGTTTTTTTTGTGCAGGCGGCGTCTGATTTGGAAGATGGATTTGCCTGAGAAAGTGCTTCCAGGAGTGTTGATGTTGGTGGTTTGAAGGACGCTGAATATGCGATCGTGGGAAGACTCCAAAAATAATTGTGATCACCTTGCTCGCTTATGTTTCAGCCTTTGGGTGGTGTAAGATTCAAAGCGAGGCACGTTTCCCCTTCTGGGCAGGCGCCAAAGAGCTCCCGAACGCAGGTTCAAGCCCGAAGATCTAGGGCTTCTGGTGATTCGGGCTTAGCAGGGCCAAAGCCCTGGACATAGGGTCCGTCAGGTTGAAGACATAATTAAACAGGACTGTATGGTCTAAACTCTTCAACATGCACCCTCGAACCCCATATCAAAAGCACCGAACCCTCAAGAAGACCGAGAACCCAAAGCCGTAACCGCAACGCCTCAAACCAAAACCCTTTGAAACCGAAAGTCCTAAACCCTAAACCCTAAACCCTATAATCCCTAAACCCCAAACCCTAAACCCCCAAAGCCCTAAAGTCCGAGTGTTTTTGGAGGCCTTGGCAGACCTCCGGCTTGGCATGGAGACACGGGGTGCCGAGGCCCCTGGACGAGTGCGTGGGCTTGGACTTAAGGGTTCCTTTAAAGGGTTCCTCTAGGCGCTACAAGGCATCGTTGAGTCGTTGAGGGTTTAGGGGTTTGGGGTGTAAGGTTTGGCGCTTAGGGTTTAGGGGTTGTTCCGAGTTTAGAGTTGCGAGCTCTCTTTTCAGGGCCTCCTTGGAGAAGAAGCTTGATTGAGAGACCTTCCAGGCAAGCTTGACGTAGAACGGCCGACGAAGAACCCAGGCACCTCAGAGGGAAGGCTGCAGCTCGGGTGTAGGGTAGGGCTTATTGTTTGGGGTATCCTGCTTCCCATGTGCTGGGTCTCAGAGATGTGGAAATCCAGCCTTCTTTAGGGTTGAAGATTTGGGCTTTGACACGTGGCCAGCTTTTGAAGGCTACGCCCACCCGACATGGCCTAAACCTAACACCAAAATCATCCTTCTAGAAACTTAGATTGCGCGTATACCCTAGAACACCTAGCGCAGAACTCCGAATCTAGAGCTGGCAAGACCTGAGCAGTTTGGCGCATTGCCACTGTGGGTGTGTTGGGGTGTTTGTGTGAAGATACATTGGCTTCCTAAGTTGTCGTAGCCGTAAAGACCCCAGCCAAAAGCCCTATCAGAGCTGCCTCCAAACCCTAAGCCCTAAACCCTAAACCCTCAAACCTAATCCTTAAACCCTAAACCCTACACCCTCAACTCTAAACCTTAAACCCGAAACCGTCAGATCGACAGCGCCTTGGTGGTCTTGGGCCTCCAGACATCTCCGGGCGGCAGCAACTCTTCTCGTCAAACAGGCTCCCTGATGTCACAGCGCTAGTTTTTTTTTCAGAAATCTCGTGAAGTCCCGGTCCGCTTCCTTCTCTTGCCTCGTTCTTCTACGGCGCAGCAGTAGGCCTTCTCCCTATGTGTTAGAAAGCCAAAAAGGGGCTCCATGGTCTTCTTTCCAACGCTTTGGGGCATTTTTGTGTACATGTCATCGTGCTTCGCCCGGGCCTTGCTTGATTTGTGTTCGACTTAAAGGTTCCTGGGACTTAGGAACTAGAGTCACAAGCAAGGTAGCTACACTTATACTTACTTATAACTCTACTTACTACGTCCCATAAACCTCCAAATACACCATCCCAAACTTCAGAGGCACCACGAGTACGACCGCAGAGTCCTCCAGCCGCAGCCGTGCGAGCTCTGCCATCAGCGACAGCAGCGCGCTCCTCTGGCGCTGCAGGGTTGAAGGTTACAGGTTAGGAGGAATTTTGTGTAAGTTTTGCAGTGTGTCGGGTCAGTGAATAATAGGTATTCCCAATCGTATGCTGCTCCCAGGGCGGGCTCTGCGGTTTAGGCTTTAGGCTTCAGAGCTTTATCCTGCAGGGAGAGTTGATGACAAAATTACTTTGGAGACTAAAGATATACAAAGCTCTATATGGTTACAACTGCCCGGGCAGGAACACAAACACCAGTCCTTCTACGAAGCGTCGTGATCGGTGTCATCGTGTGTGCTTGCTGAAAGCGTGTTCCAGCCTCAAGTTGTAGCCTTGAAGGGTTCATTCGCTGATTCCCAATGCATATTGCCTGCCAAAACTAGCAGACCTCAACATACAGTTAAGGGAAGACAATCCTTACACCCTCACACCCTACATCCGCAACGTACATCCCCCATACAAATCGCCAGAACGGCGAAGAACTGAAGTTCCCACCTTGTCGTTTAAGTCGTGCACCGTGCAAACACCTTAGCAAAGGTATACAAGAAAGCTTGACTGCAACAAAAAAGCCATATTCCCTTCATATCGAGTTTCCTTGGCTGTGGACCTCTATTCCGCTTTTGCTTTCATTCTTGGTGATGGATCAGTGGTGACATGGGGTGCGGCGGCTTATGGTGGCGACAGTGGTGCTGTGCGGGATCAGCCGAAGAACGTTGCAATTCTTGGCGACGGATCTGTTGTGACATGGGGTGATGCAGATGCCGGTGGGGGGAACCGGGACAACCCGAGCCAGACAGCCCTTTGCAGCGAGCTGCGTGCAGAGAGCGGCTCCTGATGTATGCAGCTGACCCATCCAGCCCATGGTGGTGACGGTACGACAGCAGTGCTGCGCAGGATCAGCTGAAGAGTCCTAGTCATTCTTGCTGATGGGTGGGTCGCAACCTGGGGGCGATGGGATTATATAGTGGTGACAGCAGTGCTGTGCAGAATCAGCCAAAGAACGTGCAGCACCCTCAAGCCACTTCTTCCGCGTTTGCTGCCATACATGCTGCAAACAGATACAAGGCTCTGACCCCACTTTTGCTGACATTCGTGGAGATGGGTCCATCGTCACCCGAGGTCAGGCAGTTCCGGGTTTTCAAGCTTGAGGGCTCTGTGAAGCAGCCGTACCACAAGTGTCTTGGGAGCTTTGTCTTCACCTCGTGGCTTGAGTTGCTGGAAAAGAATCGACACAGCATTAAAGCAGTCAAGTGATGAGCAAAAGTCTTAAACTTCGCCAAAAGACAAACCATCCACCCTCAACCCATCAGCTCTTATTCCTCAGAAGCTCCACTGTTCTCATCCCCACAGGTTTGTAAATCCTCCAACAGTGTAGAATCCGCGCAGCCTCGAATTACAGAGAAAGCCGCCACGCCCTGGCTGAGGCAAAGGCACTGAGGAGCCAATTCCGGAGATGCCCAACCTTGTGGAATGCGAGGCATGAAGTTGCAGGAGACAGTTGCGACAGTAGCCATAGTAGTCGTAGTCGTACTCGTAGCAGTAGTGGTAAAGTGGCAGGAGTAATTGCAGTGGTGGCAACAGTAGAGGTAGTAGTCGAGGTAGTAGTAGAGGTGGTAGTAGTAGTCGTCGTCGTCGTCGTAGTAGTAGTAGTAGTAGTAGTCGTCGTAGTAGCAGTGGCAGTAGAGGGCTCTTTTAAAACGATGTAAGCTCTGTGCATATTTCCGTTTCACTTGAATGGCTTGTTGCCCGTCTTCACTAGTCTGTTAATGTGGCCTTTTGCAGTTCAAGGAATGGTTCGAACCGGTGCTAGCAGGAGGCCCAGGCGTCTGACTAGGATTTTTTATGTACATGCCGAAAAACCGAAAACCAAAGTACCTGCCTTCAAGCACGTGAAGACCAAAACCCTGTCCCGCACAGTGTTTTGGCCTTTCGATTCGCGCAGACGGAGCTCCAACAACCATTCATGTTTGCTTCTCTTCTGAACCAGAAGCCCACCGGTATTCGTAGCAATACTACAATGCAAGCCGTCGTCGAAGCAGCAGGGTTGCAGCAACAGCTCGTCGTCGTCATCGTCGCCGTACTAGTACTAGTACGTCGTCGTAGTGTAATCTTCGTCATGTAGTCGTAGTCAAGTCGTAGTCGTAGTCCGTCGTCGTAGTCCTGGTCGTAGTCGTAGTCGTCGTAGTAGTAGTAGTAGTAGTAGTCGTCGTCGTCGTCGTCGTTGTCGTCGGTGTCGTAGTCGTCGTGGTCGACATCGTTGTCGTCCACGTCGTCGTCGTCGTCGTCGCAGTCTCCGTCGCCAAAATCACGGTGTCAACTGTCGGGAAAGCTTTTCTTCTCTGCTTTGCTAGGCTGCCGTGGATGCCATGGTCACGCCACGGGGCAATGGATTATGAAACCTTACATACCGCAGTAGATGAAGCCTAAACCTGCACCCTTCGGTATTGATTGTCGCAGAGCCAGGCAATAGAGTCAAGCTTCCAAAGCGCAAGAGGGCAGATCTGGTTATGTGCAGGTTTGCTAAGACCAGAGAGTTGCCCGCAAGCTCCGCGCAACACTCCAGCTTAATTTGCCTCAGCCACCGTCAGGAAGCAAATCGTAAGCAGTGACTGTAAAAACTAACCCGTGAATCCGAAACTCTAGATCCCAAACCCTAAGCCGAGGAAGACAGAACACGGTATGCGGGAAGGGCTCCGTCTGCTGCGGCTCCCCACGAGCCCACTGCCACCCGGCTTTGCTAGGACTTTAACAATCGTGGCGATTTAGCTAAAATTGCTCTGAGATTTCGGGTAAATTTCTAAAAGATATGTTGCACCACACTAGATGATATTGTGCTAGAAAGAACTGTGCAATGCTCAGCAGCAGAAGGCCAGCTTGGCTGCGGCACAGCAATGACAGCGGCAGCAGCACAGCAGCACCAGCAACAGCAACAGCAACAGCAGCAGCAGCAGCAGCAGCAGCAGCAGCAGCAGCAGCAGCAGCAGCAGCAGCAGCGGCAGCAGCAGAAGACGGAATAGTTGTAGTTGCGCCAGCAGCGACAGTGCCAGTGGTGGCCATGCTCGCATCGCGGTTGCAGTCGCTGTGTTGTTGTTGGTTAGCTGTAAACGGCTGATTGTAGCAAAGCTGGACAAAACATCTGTGCCGAATGCCGTCAGCCCTGGGTTTCAAACCTTCTGCGGGCCTGGAATCCACAGTGCCAGTCTTTCGCTTCTGCAATTCCGAGCCCACTGAGGCATTTTGTGCCTGGGTCCGAACTCCGTCTCCGCGGTCATGACATCAGGCGTGGGATTGATGAATGGCTTAGGGCTCCGCGGCTTTGTGATAAGAGCTTGTGAAGAGTTTCATTTTAAGCGGCTTGTCAGTTGGGTTGCAGCTCGTTCTCTGTTGCTTTTTTGTACAAAGATTTGACAGTTCTGGATTCGCGCTTGCGTCTTGATACACTTTGTGTTGGCTGCATCTCGCAGAATGGATTGAGCTTGAAGCTTTGACAAGCCCCAGGTCCAATGTTGAAACGCACAAGCAACTCCTTAAAAATGTGTTGGTCTTTGTTCGTAAATTTTCGCCACCGTCATCAGCATTGCTGATGCTTCTTGTGTCTCTGTTTTTGTTGTACTATTGCCGATGGCAGCGGTGGAAACGGTGATGATGCTGGCGCGGATGCCGATGGTGGGGATGACGACGTTGATGGCAACGGTGATGAAGCCTAAACCCTAATGGTGGTGGCGACAGCGAAGGTTGGCGTTCTAGTCGCTAGTTGTTGAGGACGGTTATGCTCACTCTAGCGGTATGCTTTGCAGGTCTAAAGATCAAGGTAAAGAGTAAAGGTTCTATAGCTCTATACAAAGTTTCATACGGGCTACTCCAGAAGATTTTATGTAGGTTTAGTATACGAGTTTTAATAATTCCATGAGCGCCCTGGGATTTTTTTAGAGTATCATCATCGCAAGGAACCCCCGAGCAGGTATTTATATTGGTTCATGTTTGTCTTCTTCTTATAGCTTCTATGACCTCTGATTCTGCTGGATCGGCTTGCTGCTCTGGCAGGGTGGCAGTTTGCAGCTTGATCGCGCACTGGCTGGAGGAGATGGGCCAGAATTTGTCGGTGCTGGTGATGGTGCTGATGAAATCTTGTTCGGTTGTTTTCGCTTGTCATATTACGATCATGAGTCTTATCATGATTTCTATCCTGTGCATGATAAATAATATTTGCCTGTGTATGTCAGCGTCTATATTGCTACCATTCCATCATATGTACTCGTGCCAATCTGTTTGGCACCAAAACACTTCCACACTTGCCACGGCTGCTACGACTACTTTGAGCTTCCCCAAGTCGAGTGCTGCAGTAGGCCCATAGGACTGTGGACTGCCCAGGAAAAGCAGAGCTCAAGTCTAGAAGTTTAGGTTCCGGCAGGATGAGAAGCCTGCCTTCTTCGACGTTTTGCAGCGCATCCACCAGGTGCTTCGGAAAGAAGCACCGCCAGCTCGGGAAGTGCCCCGGACCTGATTGGAGTGGGCACTTTCCAGCAATGCTGAGCTCGAGCCAAATCAGCACCTCCGTTCCAGGTGAGAGGGAACAGGACCATCATCATCCATAGTAGTAGTCGTCCGAGTGGCGTGGTGATGGTAGCAGTAGTAGTTGTCGTCGTCGTGGTGGCATCATGGTTGGAGTGGGGTGGAGTCACACAGGAAGCTCGCAACTTCGCACATCGGAGTGCTTGCAATCCGATGCCAATACAGAGGAGCCCGAGCCGAGGGGCAGAGGTAGAATTAGTGGGCTTATGTGGGCTTGCAGGACCGGGGGTTTGCGATGCCTGGAGCTTGAACTACGCCTCTACACTGTAACGTCTTTTTTGACCTTCCACTGCGAACTTTTGGCCCTATCTCTCCATGGCCCAGAATCCACATCCTTCGCTAGCTGTCCGAATTTTAGGACTTTCAGACCCTTCAAGCCCGATTAGCCGCAGACAAAGCGACCTTTCAATCAAACGCGGACTGCGCGCTTTACTAATCTTCAAAGCCAACACACTGCCTAGTCGCTCGCCACATCGGAGCTCGTCACGCTTCGCGAGGTGTCCCCATGGAGTTGAAAGGTTTTTCTTTACGTCTTTTTGTGGGTAGGGTTGAGAGTGTTTCGAAGACAGGTAAATAGAGGTTTAGGAGGTGTCGGGTTCCGGGTTCTGGGATCCAGTCTAGATACATTTTGCCGGAGTAGTGGTGTTTGTAGTAGCAGAACCAACGGCAGCAGTAGCAGCAGCGGGAGCGGGAGGAGGTAGCAGTAGTTGTAGTAGCGCCAGTAGTGCTAGGAGCAGCAGAGAGCACTAAGCACTAGCAGTAGCAGCAGCCGCAGTACAAGGGCAGTAGCAGTGGCAGCAGTAGCAGCAGCAGCAGCAAAAGCAGCAGTAGCAGTAGCAGCAGCAGCAGCAGCAGTCGCAGTCCCAGTCCCAGTCCCAGTCCCAGTCCCAGTCCCAGTCCCAGTCCCAGTCCCAGTCGCAGTCGCAGAAGCAGTAGTAGTAGTAGTAGTAGTAGTAGTAGTAGTAGTAGCAGTCGTAAGTAGTAGCAGTAGTAGTAGTAGTAGTAGTAGTAGTAGTAGTAGTAGTAGTGGTAGTGGTACTGGTAGTGGTAGCGGCAGTGTTAGTGGTAGCGGTAGTGGTAGTGGTAGTGGCAGCGGTAGCGGTAGCGGTAGTGGTAGTGGTAGTCGTAGCGTTAGTGGTAGCGGTAGTGGCAGTGATAGTGTTAGCGGTCGTGGTTGTGGTCGTGGTCGTAGGGGTAGTAGTAGTAGTAGTAGTAGTAGTAGTAGTAGTAGCAGCATTGGTAGTAGTAGTAGTACTACTACTAGTAGTAGCAGTAGTAGTCGTTGTAGTTGTAGTTGTAGCTGTAGTAGTAGTAGTCGTCGTCGTCGAAGTAGTCGTAATAGCAGTAGTGGTAGTAGAAGAAGAA